AAGTTAGATCAAAGAAGCAAAGCCAAGTTCGATCAAAGAAGCAAAGCCAAGTTCGATCAAAGAAGCAAAGCCAAGTTCGATCAAAGAAGCAAAGCCAAGTTCGATCAAAGAAGCAAAGCCAAGTTCGATCAAAGAAGCAAAGCCAAGTTCGATCAAAGAAGCAAAGCCAAGTTCGATCAAAGAAGCAAAGCCAAGTTCGATCAAAGAAGCAAAGCCAAGTTCGATCAAAGAAGCAAAGCCAAGTTCGATCAAAGAAGCAAAGCCAAGTTAGATCAAAGAAGCAAAGCCAAGTTCGATCAAAGAAGCAAAGCCAAGTTCGATCAAAGAAGCAAAGCCAAGTTCGATCAAAGAAGCAAAGCCAAGTTCGATCAAAGAAGCAAAGCCAAGTTCGATCAAAGAAGCAAAGCCAAGTTCGATCAAAGAAGCAAAGCCAAGTTCGATCAAAGAAGCAAAGCCAAGTTCGATCAAAGAAGCAAAGCCAAGTTCGATCAAAGAAGCAAAGCCAAGTTAGATCAAAGAAGCAAAGCCAAGTTCGATCAAAGAAGCAAAGCCAAGTTCGATCAAAGAAGCAAAGCCAAGTTAGATCAAAGAAGCAAAGCCAAGTTAGATCAAAGAAGCAAAGCCAAGTTAGATCAAAGAAGCAAAGCCAAGTTCGATCAAAGAAGCAAAGCCAAGTTCGATCAAAGAAGCAAAGCCAAGTTCGATCAAAGAAGCAAAGCCAAGTTAGATCAAAGAAGCAAAGCCAAGTTAGATCAAAGAAGCAAAGCCAAGTTAGATCAAAGAAGCAAAGCCAAGTTAGATCAAAGAAGCAAAGCCAAGTTAGATCAAAGAAGCAAAGCCAAGTTAGATCAAAGAAGCAAAGCCAAGTTAGATCAAAGAAGCAAAGCCAAGTTAGATCAAAGAAGCAAAGCCAAGTTAGATCAAAGAAGCAAAGCCAAGTTAGATCAAAGAAGCAAAGCCAAGTTAGATCAAAGAAGCAAAGCCAAGTTCGATCAAAGAAGCAAAGCCAAGTTCGATCAAAGAAGCAAAGCCAAGTTCGATCAAAGAAGCAAAGCCAAGTTCGATCAAAGAAGCAAAGCCAAGTTCGATCAAAGAAGCAAAGCCAAGTTAGATCAAAGAAGCAAAGCCAAGTTCGATCAAAGAAGCAAAGCCAAGTTCGATCAAAGAAGCAAAGCCAAGTTCGATCAAAGAAGCAAAGCCAAGTTCGATCAAAGAAGCAAAGCCAAGTTCGATCAAAGAAGCAAAGCCAAGTTCGATCAAAGAAGCAAAGCCAAGTTCGATCAAAGAAGCAAAGCCAAGTTAGATCAAAGAAGCAAAGCCAAGTTCGATCAAAGAAGCAAAGCCAAGTTCGATCAAAGAAGCAAAGCCAAGTTCGATCAAAGAAGCAAAGCCAAGTTCGATCAAAGAAGCAAAGCCAAGTTCGATCAAAGAAGCAAAGCCAAGTTAGATCAAAGAAGCAAAGCCAAGTTCGATCAAAGAAGCAAAGCCAAGTTCGATCAAAGAAGCAAAGCCAAGTTCGATCAAAGAAGCAAAGCCAAGTTCGATCAAAGAAGCAAAGCCAAGTTCGATCAAAGAAGCAAAGCCAAGTTCGATCAAAGAAGCAAAGCCAAGTTCGATCAAAGAAGCAAAGCCAAGTTAGATCAAAGAAGCAAAGCCAAGTTCGATCAAAGAAGCAAAGCCAAGTTCGATCAAAGAAGCAAAGCCAAGTTCGATCAAAGAAGCAAAGCCAAGTTCGATCAAAGAAGCAAAGCCAAGTTCGATCAAAGAAGCAAAGCCAAGTTCGATCAAAGAAGCAAAGCCAAGTTCGATCAAAGAAGCAAAGCCAAGTTAGATCAAAGAAGCAAAGCCAAGTTCGATCAAAGAAGCAAAGCCAAGTTCGATCAAAGAAGCAAAGCCAAGTTCGATCAAAGAAGCAAAGCCAAGTTCGATCAAAGAAGCAAAGCCAAGTTCGATCAAAGAAGCAAAGCCAAGTTCGATCAAAGAAGCAAAGCCAAGTTAGATCAAAGAAGCAAAGCCAAGTTCGATCAAAGAAGCAAAGCCAAGTTCGATCAAAGAAGCAAAGCCAAGTTCGATCAAAGAAGCAAAGCCAAGTTAGATCAAAGAAGCAAAGCCAAGTTCGATCAAAGAAGCAAAGCCAAGTTCGATCAAAGAAGCAAAGCCAAGTTCGATCAAAGAAGCAAAGCCAAGTTCGATCAAAGAAGCAAAGCCAAGTTCGATCAAAGAAGCAAAGCCAAGTTCGATCAAAGAAGCAAAGCCAAGTTCGATCAAAGAAGCAAAGCCAAGTTCGATCAAAGAAGCAAAGCCAAGTTAGATCAAAGAAGCAAAGCCAAGTTCGATCAAAGAAGCAAAGCCAAGTTCGATCAAAGAAGCAAAGCCAAGTTCGATCAAAGAAGCAAAGCCAAGTTCGATCAAAGAAGCAAAGCCAAGTTCGATCAAAGAAGCAAAGCCAAGTTCGATCAAAGAAGCAAAGCCAAGTTCGATCAAAGAAGCAAAGCCAAGTTCGATCAAAGAAGCAAAGCCAAGTTCGATCAAAGAAGCAAAGCCAAGTTCGATCAAAGAAGCAAAGCCAAGTTCGATCAAAGAAGCAAAGCCAAGTTCGATCAAAGAAGCAAAGCCAAGTTCGATCAAAGAAGCAAAGCCAAGTTCGATCAAAGAAGCAAAGCCAAGTTCGATCAAAGAAGCAAAGCCAAGTTAGATCAAAGAAGCAAAGCCAAGTTCGATCAAAGAAGCAAAGCCAAGTTAGATCAAAGAAGCAAAGCCAAGTTCGATCAAAGAAGCAAAGCCAAGTTAGATCAAAGAAGCAAAGCCAAGTTCGATCAAAGAAGCAAAGCCAAGTTCGATCAAAGAAGCAAAGCCAAGTTCGATCAAAGAAGCAAAGCCAAGTTCGATCAAAGAAGCAAAGCCAAGTTCGATCAAAGAAGCAAAGCCAAGTTAGATCAAAGAAGCAAAGCCAAGTTCGATCAAAGAAGCAAAGCCAAGTTCGATCAAAGAAGCAAAGCCAAGTTCGATCAAAGAAGCAAAGCCAAGTTCGATCAAAGAAGCAAAGCCAAGTTCGATCAAAGAAGCAAAGCCAAGTTCGATCAAAGAAGCAAAGCCAAGTTCGATCAAAGAAGCAAAGCCAAGTTCGATCAAAGAAGCAAAGCCAAGTTCGATCAAAGAAGCAAAGCCAAGTTCGATCAAAGAAGCAAAGCCAAGTTCGATCAAAGAAGCAAAGCCAAGTTCGATCAAAGAAGCAAAGCCAAGTTCGATCAAAGAAGCAAAGCCAAGTTCGATCAAAGAAGCAAAGCCAAGTTCGATCAAAGAAGCAAAGCCAAGTTCGATCAAAGAAGCAAAGCCAAGTTCGATCAAAGAAGCAAAGCCAAGTTCGATCAAAGAAGCAAAGCCAAGTTCGATCAAAGAAGCAAAGCCAAGTTCGATCAAAGAAGCAAAGCCAAGTTCGATCAAAGAAGCAAAGCCAAGTTAGATCAAAGAAGCAAAGCCAAGTTCGATCAAAGAAGCAAAGCCAAGTTCGATCAAAGAAGCAAAGCCAAGTTCGATCAAAGAAGCAAAGCCAAGTTCGATCAAAGAAGCAAAGCCAAGTTCGATCAAAGAAGCAAAGCCAAGTTCGATCAAAGAAGCAAAGCCAAGTTCGATCAAAGAAGCAAAGCCAAGTTAGATCAAAGAAGCAAAGCCAAGTTCGATCAAAGAAGCAAAGCCAAGTTCGATCAAAGAAGCAAAGCCAAGTTCGATCAAAGAAGCAAAGCCAAGTTCGATCAAAGAAGCAAAGCCAAGTTCGATCAAAGAAGCAAAGCCAAGTTCGATCAAAGAAGCAAAGCCAAGTTCGATCAAAGAAGCAAAGCCAAGTTCGATCAAAGAAGCAAAGCCAAGTTCGATCAAAGAAGCAAAGCCAAGTTCGATCAAAGAAGCAAAGCCAAGTTCGATCAAAGAAGCAAAGCCAAGTTCGATCAAAGAAGCAAAGCCAAGTTCGATCAAAGAAGCAAAGCCAAGTTCGATCAAAGAAGCAAAGCCAAGTTCGATCAAAGAAGCAAAGCCAAGTTCGATCAAAGAAGCAAAGCCAAGTTAGATCAAAGAAGCAAAGCCAAGTTCGATCAAAGAAGCAAAGCCAAGTTCGATCAAAGAAGCAAAGCCAAGTTAGATCAAAGAAGCAAAGCCAAGTTCGATCAAAGAAGCAAAGCCAAGTTCGATCAAAGAAGCAAAGCCAAGTTCGATCAAAGAAGCAAAGCCAAGTTCGATCAAAGAAGCAAAGCCAAGTTCGATCAAAGAAGCAAAGCCAAGTTCGATCAAAGAAGCAAAGCCAAGTTCGATCAAAGAAGCAAAGCCAAGTTCGATCAAAGAAGCAAAGCCAAGTTCGATCAAAGAAGCAAAGCCAAGTTCGATCAAAGAAGCAAAGCCAAGTTCGATCAAAGAAGCAAAGCCAAGTTCGATCAAAGAAGCAAAGCCAAGTTCGATCAAAGAAGCAAAGCCAAGTTCGATCAAAGAAGCAAAGCCAAGTTCGATCAAAGAAGCAAAGCCAAGTTCGATCAAAGAAGCAAAGCCAAGTTCGATCAAAGAAGCAAAGCCAAGTTCGATCAAAGAAGCAAAGCCAAGTTCGATCAAAGAAGCAAAGCCAAGTTCGATCAAAGAAGCAAAGCCAAGTTCGATCAAAGAAGCAAAGCCAAGTTCGATCAAAGAAGCAAAGCCAAGTTCGATCAAAGAAGCAAAGCCAAGTTCGATCAAAGAAGCAAAGCCAAGTTCGATCAAAGAAGCAAAGCCAAGTTCGATCAAAGAAGCAAAGCCAAGTTCGATCAAAGAAGCAAAGCCAAGTTCGATCAAAGAAGCAAAGCCAAGTTCGATCAAAGAAGCAAAGCCAAGTTCGATCAAAGAAGCAAAGCCAAGTTCGATCAAAGAAGCAAAGCCAAGTTCGATCAAAGAAGCAAAGCCAAAATCGATCAAAGAAGCAAAGCCAAGTTCGATCAAAGAAGCAAAGCCAAGTTCGATCAAAGAAGCAAAGCCAAGTTCGATCAAAGAATCGTGGAGCAGAGCATGCAAGGGGATACTCTTTAAATTCCAGCAACAGCCGCACATTTCTTTGGTGAATGCAATCCAAGCCCACCTGGCGCCGACAGTGAGGTAGAAGGGCGAGAAGTTGTCGATGACTCTGGCTCGGATGTGCGCCCCCAGCGTGAGCCAGAAGTTGGGCTTCCCCCAGTCACCCGCCGCCATCACCACCACCACGCCTGCCTGCCACCCATGCGCACACACGCATGCAGCCACGCACGCATGCACAACCAAGCACCCCCTCCCCCAGCACGCATGCGAGGCTGTGAAGCTGTGAGCTGGGTGGCTGGATTTCAACGTGTCAACACACCTTGAACGAGCATTCACGCATGCGAGGCTGTGAAGCTGTGAGCTGGGTGGCTGGATTTCAACGTGTCAACACACCTTGAACGAGCATTCACGTATGCTCACTCACACGTGCAACACTCCTCTTGATCATCCGCACCACCCCACCAACCTCCTCTCCCAATAAAATAAATCCACATCTCGCCTCCCTCTCTCTCTCTCTCACCCTCAGTCCCTCCCCTCCATGTACCCTTCCTGTCCCCCTCCCCCCTCGCTCGCTCACAGCATGGCCGTGCAGGAAGGGCGCGTCAGTGAAGTAGTTGGCCTGGGAGCCCTTGAACCCCCAAACAGAGAGGCAGAGCACGTGCACGCCGTCCGCCACGGCGCGGTCCACCTCCGCCAGCACGTCCGCCTCAAACCCGTACCCCGCCCACACCGCCTTGTACACCGCCACCCTCGCCCCCGGCGCCATACCGCTTGTCTGAGCCGCATCTGCCCATGTCACTGCGTTGCCCACCGCTGCTCTGATGTTGGGGGGAGGAAGGGGGGAGCAAAGGGGGAGGAAGGGGGGAGCAAAGGGGGAGCACGGAAGGGAAGGAGAGGAGGAAACGCGGGAGCAAGGGCAGGAAAGAGGGAGTGAGAGGAGGAGGAGGAGAGCAGGGAAGGACGAATGTAGCAAGTTAAGCTGGAAGGCTCTACAATGAAGAAGACTAAAAGCAGAAAGGCCAGCACTTCTCAACCTTCTCACCCTGCTGCACTCACGCTGCACTCACCCCCTGGGCACTCACCCCCTGGGCACTCACCCCCTGGGCACTCACCCCCTGGGCACTCACCCCCTGGGCACTCACCCCCTGAGCACTCACCCCCTGGGCACTCACCCCCTGGGCACTCACGCTGCGCTCCACGTGCCGCGGCCATCCATGTCACGAGTCATACTCGACGCTCAAGTCGGGCCCGCCCGTGCTGTGCTGGTTGGCCGCGTACAGCCGCCGCGCGCCGATGATCTTCCCGCTGCACGTGAAGTCGGGCGTTGAGTCACATGCGCCCTGCCACCCTGCCGGAACTCCACTGAACGCCTGCTGGGGGGCACGGGAGGCGAATAGCGGAGCAGGCCAGAATTAGGGGGAAACAGAATGTGCGTGAATAAGTGTGCATGTGAGTGAGTGTAGTGCTTAAGAGCATAAGTGACATGGAGACAGAGAGAAGAGGCGCAAGGAAGGAAGAGGCACCCACGGAGGCATCAAATGCGGGGTGCTCGGGCCAGATGCCCGACCCCACCACCCCCACTACCACATCCGCCCCGGCGCTGCTCTGCCCGCCCGCCTGCTGCCACAGCGACCCCGGCAGCCCCATGAAGGACGCCGCGTCTGCATCGTACGTGCGCGGCTCAGATGACGTGGAGGCAGATGCATTTGAAGCAGAGGTGGGGCGAGCACGCCAGAGAGGCGCGGTGGTGGTGGCGGGGGCGTGGAAGACACGGGTGCGGCGCACAGAGGCCACAGCGGGGTGCCTCTTGAGGCGCCACACCTGCCGTGGGGAGAGAGCAGCAGCGAACGCGTGGGCCACGGTGTGCAGGTGCAGCAGCACGGCCACTGGCGCCACCCCCGCGTCCGCCGCCACCTGCTCCTGCTGCCGCTGCAGCGCCCGCCTCAGCGCCCGCACGTGCCCCGCCCTCATGTCTAACCCCCGCCGCCGCTGCCGCCCTTGCCGCTGCTGCTGCCTCTGCTGCCGCTGCTCGCTCTGGGCCGGGTCAACCTGGGCCGGGTCAACCTGGGCTGGGGGAGGGGGGAGGCGGAGTGGGGGTCGGCCCCCTCGTCTCTGGGTGCGGTGGCGGGGAAGCCGGGGAGGTGTCCGCGGTACGTCGCGAGGGGGGCGCCGCGCAGCTCCACGATGTACTGCGTCACCCGCTGCTGCTGGCGGGGGGGACCTGGCAAGGGGAGATGCGAGGGGGGGAATGCGAAGGGGGAGATGCGAGGGGGGGGATGCGAGGGGGGGATGCGAGGGGGGGGATGAAGGGGTGACGGGGCTGAAAGAAGGGTTGCTTGAGACGCAGCGGGAAGGAGAGTGAGCGCGAGTGTTGATGCCGGCGGGCGGTGACGACGACGACGACGACGACACACAGTCGTTGGAGTGAAGCTCCTCGCCACTAGCTTCAACGTGAGCACGGCACGGCAGCCGCTAACTCACCATCGTATGGAGGCAGCGCACTGCTGGGGGCCGCGAGAAGCAGCAGAAGCGCCGCCAGCGAAACGGCGCTCCGGGCGAGAGGCGGCGACAGGCGAGGCGGCGACAGGCGAGGCGGCGACGGCAATGCGACGGCGGTCGGCATGAGACGAGGCCGCTCGCGACGGCCGTCAGATTCAAAACGCCGGCTCGACTGACGGAATTTTCTAATCTGGCGACTTGACGGCGAGGCTGACAAACAGCCGCTTTTTTATTATCGTTCATTGCCTATCGCTGGGTGAAGAGGGTGAAATGCGCATGGCAGTATGCCTGAATTAAATGCCCAGTAAAGGGATGCGCTGACGCTGCTCCACCGTGCTGCTGCACTGCCCGCACTGTCGATCGGCAGTCCAGGCAAGAAATCGGGTCGCAGGGAGAAGGGCAGGACCGGCGGAACGTGTGCAGCTCGTGACGCTCTCAGGGTCAAGAAGAGCCCGCGTAGCATAATTGACGAGTTGAGTTGTGTGTGGTGGGGAGTTGTGGCTTTGATGGTAAACTACCGTATGTGAGGGAGGGGATGATAAAATAACTTTGGGCGTGTCGCCTTGGACGTTCAAAGGGGCGTTTTTAAAACCGAACTGTACCAAAGCCAAATGCCAGAATTTCGGAATTCGAACAGCTGGTTACCACACAAGGCCCGCGAATTGCGAAAATGGGGTTTGGCCGAATTTTTTGCGACTGGTCGAAAAACGACACTTGGCCTAAGGGGTGTTCCCACAGTTTGGACAGAGTGAGTCTGCCCACGCGGCTCGTGCAAACAATGTGTGTTTTAAGATCCGTCATGGTTACCCAATCAAACGTCAAACGATAACATCCGCAAACCACGGTTTGAATTGCACTTAAAGGGCAGGGGAAAGAATCACTTTTGGTGCAAAAGCGTTTCAAAAATCTAGAAGAAACTCTCTCCAAATAAAAAACAGAACAAACGGAACAAATAGAACAAAGTCAACTCTACGCTCGAACAAACAGAACTACTTGAAAAAATACACCTGAAAAGTAATGTTGAAACTCGCTACAGTTGGCGAAACGTCGTTTTGCTCTATACTTGGAGGCGAGATTGTAGCCGAATTTGCGAAGTTTGGGTAATAAACACTGCGGTGTGTTAAACTGTGTTATGTTGGTAGGCTGTAGTGGGGTAGCTAATATGGGGTACAACCCCAACTAGGGTTTGTTATTTGTACCCAACTCTTCCATTCAATGCATCATTCTTGCCTAGTTATTTTGAGATGGTATTCAGAGCAGGAGGTCCCTAGGACCTACCGACCGTTTTTTTTTTTTAAGGGCCCACCACCGCTCGCATGCGGTTACCACGCTACCCCGTGCCCTAGCCTCGTAGCGCCCTCGTGCGCCCTCGTTAGCGCCCTCGCGCGCCCTCGTTAGCGCCCTCGCGCGCCTCTCGTTAGCGCCCTCGCGCGCCCTCGCTAGCGCCCTCGAGCGCCCCTCGTTAGCGCCCTCGCGCGCCCCTTGCAGCGTCGCCCGCCCGCCGAGCCGCCTACTCGCAGCGTCGCCCGCCCGTCACGCTGCCCGCTCGCCGCCCGCCCGCCGCGCTGCCTACTCACAGCGTCGCCCGCTCGCCCCGCAGCCCGCTTCGCAGCCCGCTCGCCCGCTCGCTGCCCGCTTCGCGGCCCGCCCGCTTCGCTGCCCGCTCGCAGCGTCGCCCGCCCGCCCGCTGCCCGCTTCGCAGCGTCGCCCGCCCGCTTGCTGCCCGCTCGCAGTGTCGCCCGCTCGCCCCGCAGCCCGTTTCGCAGCCCGCCCGCCCGCTCGCTGCCCGCTTCGCGGCCCGCCCGCTTCGCTGCCCGCTCGCAGCGCCGCCCGCCCGCCCGCTGCCCGTTTCACAGCGTCGCCCGCCCGCTTGCTGCCCGCTCGCAGCGTCGACCGCCCGCCCGCTGCCCGCTTCGCAGCGTCGCCCGCTCGCTCGCTGCCCGCTCGCAGCGTCGCCCGCCCGCCCGCTGCCCGCTTGCAGCGTCGCCCGCCCGCCTCGCTGCCCGCTTGCAGCGTCGCCCGCCCGCCCGCTGCCCGCTTCGCAGCCGCCCGCCGCGCTGCCCGCTCGCCGCGTCGCCCGCCCGCCCCGCTGCCCGCTTCGCAGCCCGCCCGCCGCACTTCCCGCCTGCAGCGCCGCCCGCCTCGCCTGCTGCTCCCTGCCCGTGCACCGCCGCTTGCTCCTGCTGTGGCTGCTAGCTTCGCTCTAGCGCGTCCCCTCTGCTGCTGCCGCTGCTCTGCTGTGCCCTCACGCCTGAGCTATGGCCTCTATTCGCGTTCTTTCCTTCGATGCTGAGGGCCGTCCCGTGCAGTTCACTTCCTGGCTCGACGACCTGCAGTTGTATCTTATGAGCAATAGCACGGACCACATCTCCCTCTATGACTACGCGTCTGGTGCTGCCGCTGCTCCTGCTGCCACAGCCGAGCTTAGTGTACGTTCACAGTGGCAGACTCGTGACGCTGCAGCTCGCCTGGCTATTCGCAGTCACCTGCCGTTCGCTGAGCTAGAGCACTTTGGCGACTGCAAAACCGCTAAGGCCCTATACGACGCTGTCGTTGCTCGCTACTCCTCACCTGCCACAGCCGAGCTTAGCCGCCTCATGCTGCCTTACCTGTTCCCTGACCTGTCCACCTTTGCTACAGTCGCCGATCTTATCACCCACCTTCGCACTAGTGATGCTCGCCTGCGTGCCGCCCTTCCCACCGAGTTCTGCGCTAAGAACCCCCCTCCCCTGTACTGGGCACTCCACTTCATAGTCACCCGTCTCCCTGACACCCTCAGCTCAGTGCGCGACTATTTCCTTGCTCGCTGTCCCACTGAGCTCACTGTCGCCCTCCTAGAGGAGAAGCTGCTAGCAGCCGAGAAGAGCATTGTCGCTGTAGGTGCTGCTCGCGGCGCTCCTCGCACCCCCATCTTTGAGGGGTGCTCTCCCTCTCCCCTCGCTCCCTCCTATGCTACTGCTGCTGCTGTTGACTTCCTTGGTGCTGAGTCTGCTGGCGCTGCTTCTGCTCCTGGTGGGAGGCGCCGCACCGGCAAGGGCAAGGGGGGCAAGGGTGGCGGGGGTGGCGCTGGGGGGGGAGGGGGTGGGGGAGGTGGGGGGGGAGGCGGTGCTGGAGGGAGCGGTGGCGGGAGTGCTGGTGGGAGTGGGGCCGGCGGCGGAGGCGGGGGCGGCGGCGGGAGCAGTGGCGGTGGTGGCAGCGGCGGCAGTGGCGGCAGTGGTGGTAGTGGCGGTGGCGGTGGCGGTGGTGGCGGTCGGAGCGGAGGTAGTGGCGGCGGTGGAGGTCGGAGTGGAGGCACTGGCTCGGGCCAGAGCTCCCAGCAGCAGCAGCGTCCCCAGTCGACCCAGCAGCTTCGTGAGTGGCTTGCTCAGCGTGGGACGTCGGGGGGCAGTGGCCGCTGTTCCTATGTCATTCGCACAGGTGATCGCAAGGGGCAGACGTGTGGAAAGTCCCTCGCTGGGCTGAGCTGATGAGGGCTGGTGTTGATATCTTTGCTCTTGACTATGATGCTATTATTGCTGCCATGTATGCATTGACTGTTAGTGCCGAGGGAGACTGTTACTTGTGTGTGCCGCCTGACCCAGGTATAGAGCCCGCTGCCCTAGGTACTAGTGAGTCTGCTCTCTCTGGTATGGTGCCCCCTGTACCTGCTCCCTCCAGCACTGTCCCTGCTGCTTGCGAGTCTGCTCTCTCAGGTACAGCACCCACAGAGACTGCTCTCTCAGGTACTGCACCGGCTGAGGCCTGTCACACCTTCACCCTTGACTCAGGTGCTTCCCGCTGCTTCTTTCGAGACAGTACTGAGCTCACACCGCTTCCTGCACCGGTCCCAGTCTCCTTGGCTGACCCCTCTGGGGGCCCAGTCCTTGCCCAGTCCACCACTGTGCTCCCTTGTCCGGCGGTTCCGTCTGGCTCGTTGACGGGTTTCCACCTCCCCTCGTTCTCGACGAACCTGGTGAGCAACGCTGTCATCCAGGATCAGTGGGTTGACACCTTTACCCCTGGAGGACAGCGTGTGGCGATCTGCACGTGCTCCAGGACCGGCCGTCACCTGGCTACGTTTACTCGTCGGCCGGGGTCGAGTCTCTACACACTGACCACTGCGTCTCCTCAGGTCGCTGCTGTCGGTCAGGTGTCCGCGTCAGGTCTGGTGGCCCACGCCTGTGAGTGTCGTTCCCTGTCGCACCAGACTCTTCTCTGGCACCACCGCCTGGGTCACCCCTCCTTGCCACGCCTTCGTGGCATGCACCGTCGCCGCCTTGTGTCTGGTCTTCCCAGGTCCCTCCCTCCCCTCCCTGCCTCGCCTGCGCCGCCTTGCCTTCCTTGCGTCGAGGGGCGGCAGCGCGCCGCTCCTCACTCCTCCTCGTTCCCCCCGACAGAGGCTCCTCTGCAGACCCTCCACCTGGACGTGTGGGGCCCAGCCCGCGTTCGTGGCCAGGGCGGTGAGCGGTACTTTTTGCTGGTTGTCGACGACTACTCGCGTTACACCACGGTCTTCCCCTTGCGCACCAAGGGTGAGGTCCCTGCTGTTCTGATCCCTTGGATCCGCACAGTTCGTCTCCAGCTCCGCCGCCGTTTCCGGACGGATCTTCCTGTCCTGCGTCTGCACTCTGACAGAGGTGGTGAGTTTTCCTCCGATCTCTTGAGGACCTTCTGTCAGGCGGAGGGCATCGAGCAGACCTTCACGCTTCCGGACTCCCCACAGCAGAATGGGGTTGCTGAGCGCCGCATTGGCCTGGTCATGGAGGTCGCTCGTACCTCCTTGGTCCACGCGGCGGCTCCCCATTTTCTGTGGCCGTTTGCTGTCCGGTACGCCGCGCATCAGCTCAACCTCTGGCCCCGTGTCTCCTTGCCGGAGACCTCGCCCACACTGCGTTGGACGGGGGAGGTTGGCGATGCGTCGCGCTTCCGGGTGTGGGGTGCTCGTGCCCTTGTCCGCGATACGTCCGCGGACAAGCTCTCCTCCCGCACACTTCCCTGTGTCTTCCTTGGCTTTGTCCCTGACGCGCCGGGCTGGCAGTTTTACCACCCCACCTCGCGCCGGGTCTTCGCCTCTCAGGACGTCACCTTTGACGAGTCGGTCCCTTTTTACCGTCTCTTCCCCTACCGCATTGCCCCCCTCCCTCCCCCGCCGCTTTTCCTTGCTCCTGGTCCCCCTCCGGTAGACCCCCTTCCCCCTCAGGGTCCTGCTCCTTCAGGTGTCTCTCAGGTAGACCCTCCTCCCGTCGCTGAGCCTGTCGAGGTCACAGGTGACTCAGGTGCTGCTGCAGGTGGTGCTGCTGGGAGTGCTGAGCCTGGGGGTGCTGAGCCTGCGGGTGCTGGGCCTGGGGGTGCTGGGACTGCGGGTGCTGGAGCTGAGGGTACTGTGCCTGAGAGTTCGGCGCCTGGGGGTGCTGAGCCTGGGGGTGCTGCGACTGGGGGTGCTGAGCCTGCGTGTGCGGAGTCTGGGGGTGCTGAGTCTGGGGGTGCTGCGCCTGCGGGTACTGAGCCTGGGGGTGCTGCTACTGAGCCTACGGAGCCTCGGGTTACTGCGTCTGGGGGTGCTCCGGTTCGGGGTACTGAGCAGTCTCTCACACCGCAGCAGCTTCGTGACTGGTACGTCCGGCGCTTTCGCCGTCCTAGTGGCTCGGCTGGAGTTGGGGGTGCTGGAGCTGCTCGTCCTGGGGGTGCTCGTACTGGGGGTACTGGAGCTGCTGGAGCTGGGGACTCTGGAGCTGGCGGTGCTAGCGGAGTTGGAGCTGCCGCCTCTGGGGGTGGCGCTGCTGCTGGTGCTGAGGACTCGGACGGTGGAGCTGCTGCTGGAG